CCCACACAGACGTTAACATTTAAGCCTTTTTAAAATTACAGAATGAAAGTGTTTACAAGTAGAGTGTCAGGCAATAGTGAGGGAACTGGGAAACACTAATGGCCAAATCAATGTCCTTTATTTATCCTTTATTATTTTCTTCATTATTATTTTAATTTATTTTTTCACGGACTTTTTGTTGTCTTTCGCCACTATAAATTTGTCATCGTTCCCTGTGGGAGCATGCTGTCACAACATGTCCAAGAGTCTCAAGTGAGTCAGTCCGCTCCTGCCCAAATCATCATACAGTTCCAAAGGCTCATCCCAATGGTTAGGGAATTTATGACTCAGAGGGAGACCAAGGTCACTCACATGTTTTCATGAACTGCTTTCATTGCTTTCGCTGCAAGGCCCATGTTCCTTAACACCTCGGTGTTGGTGTGTGAGTTTTCCAAGGCTTCTCTCTGGAACTCAATGGTGGAAAGGGTGCCATCAATCTGAGTTAGCTGCTTCTCATACCTCTTCTTTCTCTTTAGTGCCTGCAACGCAGCTAAATAAGAGAGAAGGCACATTTATAAGGAGAGAGCCCAGTCACTTATTCAAGAAATATTCCTCAGCACCAGCCATGAACTCGGCACTGCAAAAGCCTACAAAGAGGATACCAAATAAAGATGAGAAACCTAAGGGTGACGTCTGCCCTTTTAATTGTTTGTGCCAAATACCAGGCCCTTAAACATTTTGTTATTCTTCCAAAGATCTGCCAAGTGTCAGAGGATGAAAAGTCCAAATTTCATATTCCATAAAATATACCACAGAAATATTTCTGTTAACATTGGATATTAGGAGAAAAAGATAGATAAAAATAAAGTATCATGTAATAGAAAATAAAACTTGAGAGGAAGAAAGAACCTTAAGGACTGTCTATTCTCACCTCTTCTCCTTATTTCAAAGACAAGTTCATTGAGACCCAGAGAAGTGACTTGCTTGAAGGTAGTCAGTCAGTGACAAATCCAAAATCTAGGACACCAAGCCGCGTGTCTTGGGCTGAAGTGATCATGAGGCGGCCAGTGAGGTTACATCTAATCATGAGTGCCCATGAAATCAACACCATGGAGTCATATTCAAGGATTAACGGCATACTGGTGAGGAAAAAGAATGCTGCTGCCAGAAAAATGATGTCCAAATACCCTCCCCCGAACACTTAGGAAACTAACCTTACCTGCTTCTTTCAGGAATCACAAAACGAACAGAGCCCTTCTGACTCTGACCCCTTGTAAGGCACCCCCAAAAACAGGCCTTAAAATAGAAGTTTTGATAAGGCTTTTATGAGAGTGGAGGAAAAGAGCAGCAGAAAATTGCTAATATCAAGATAATTAAAGAGAACTGACAACAAGAGCTCAGAGTGAAATATGTAAGTTATTGCAACATGTAAGTTATCAGAAGCACAGCCTTTCTGAGAAAAGGTTCTTTTCTAACTGTTTTAGTCCATTTCTTCTTGTAATTCCAGCAGATTCAGTTTACTTATTCCAATGCTTTTTGTCTGGTGCACAGACTCATAGCCGTCATACTTTCTTGCTGGATTTTATTGGTGATTAGTAAATAAATATTATTTGCTGCCCACTTAATTCTTTCTGCCTTACATTCCATTTTGTTTTAGACTAAATTAATATTTCAGCTTTCTTTTTGTTACAATCTGCCTGTAATAATTTTACCTGGACCTCCATTTAAATTTTTTTCTATTTGCTCTTTTTCGGTGTGCCTATTACAGAGAGCATATATTTGAATGTTTAACGTGTGTGATGGTTTTTAACTAATCAGACAGTCTCCAACTTTCAACGTTAGTTTTTAAGTTATTCTTATTTATTGTGATAACTGATATGGTATCTAACATGGTCTTTTTACCATCGTCTTTTATGTTTTATGTTTTCTGTTTGTTATGCTTTTAATTTTGTTTGTTCTTTCTTGTCTTTCTGTAGGTTGATTAGATTTCCTTTGTACACTTTTGCCCCTTTAATTATGGAATAATTATATATATACTAAATTTATTCTTTTAACAGAGACTCCTGTATTTAAAATATACACATATTATTAAACTTAAGTTTTCTATCCATTCTGAAAATTAATCAGTATCTATAAAACTTATTGTCTTCAGACAAGATTCTTTTATCACCCCCAAACCCCCAATGTTTGATTGAAATAATCTGCACTTTTATTATTTCCAGATGATTACCAGTTTTTTAAATTATTCTTTCAATTTTTTAGGAACCATTAAGCTTCATAGATACAATTTCAACAGCTATTCACACTGAAATGCAGTGTTTATTGCTCATTTTTGTGACAGCCCATTCTTGTCTTCCAACTCAGTAGCTTCTTTTAAAAAAAAAAACATTTTTTATTGAGTTATAGTCATTTTACAATGTTGTGTCAAATTCCAGCGTAGAGCACAACTTTTCAGTTATACATGAAGATACATGTATTCATTGTCACATTTTTTTTTTTTGCTGTGAGCTACCACAAGATCTTGTATATATTTCCCTGTGCTATACAGTATAATCTTGTTTATCTATTCTACATTTTAAAATCCCAGTCTGTCCCTTCCCACCCCCGACCCTTTGGCAACTACAAGTTTTTATTCTATGTCTATGAGTCTGTTTCTGATCCGTATTTACATTCTTTTTTTTTAGATTCCACATATGAGCGATCTCATATGGTATTTTTCTTTCTCTGTCTGGCTTACTTCACTTAGAATGACATTCTCCAGGAACATCCATGTCGCTGCAAATGGCGTTATGTTGTCAGTTTTGATGGCTGAATAGTATTCCATTGTATAAGTATATCACATTTTCTTTATCCAGTCATCTGTTGGTGCACATTTAGGCTGTTTCCATGTCTTGGCTTTTGTAAATAGTGCTGCTATGAACACTGGGGTGCAGGTGTCTTTTTGAAGTAGGATTCCTTCTGGATATATGCCCAAGAACGGGATTCCTGGGTCATATGATAAGTCTATTCCTAGTCTTTTGAGGAATCTCCATACTGCTTTCCACAGTGGCTGCACCAAACTGCATTCCCACCAGCAGTGTACCAACACGGTAGCTTCTTGATTGTCCCGAAGATACTAATACAAGTTTTGTTTTTTAACACCTTTTATTTCCTACATTATCTCTCTTCTCTTGTTCAGTTGCTTGCTTATCTTGATCTTTCTCTTTCAAGCAATTGCCTTTCCTAGAAATTCTTCTGACCTTCTACTATAGGTTCATATTTATAATAGTATAAGTAGCCATGCCTCTTGTAGTTACGTGAGTGTGTTTCTCCATGAGGTCTCCCTCTGGAAAGAGAAGGCTACCCAAAGCTCTGTAGCAGAAGTGGGTGGGACCCACTAACAGACAGGCTTCCTTCCACGGGGAGGGAGGAAGCAGACAGGCTGGGGATTCCTATAGTTGCCAAAGAAGGGGTTTGTAGGTGCGGATCATTTTTCTGTATTTCCCTTGAGTGGTAACTTTCCTTCCCCATCCCTTTCTGCCCATCGCGGAGGTCCAGGGTTATCTCATCTCTGCTCTGTTTCCCTCTCCAGCTGCAACACCGCAATGTAAGTCCTTGCTGAATAGCATTTACACTTTAAAGAACAAATTGACTGTTTACTCTGTCCTTTAGGAAAGAACTTTAAAAAAAGTCATCTCGTGCAAAGGCCTTTCTGCAATATCATATTGTATATATGGTATCACACTGTACAGAGGCTCATTACATCACTGAGCAGGGCTGCATGAGGGCTTTCTCTGCGCACAGGGAGGGTGGCTGATTGACCCCCCCCTCGGCTGTCACTCTGCCTGTGGATCCACATCTACTATTGCATTGATTACACTGATTATAATTTTTGTAAAATCTACTTTTTTAATTAATTAATTTTTTGGCAGGGAGAGGTAATTAGGTTTATTTATTGTTAGAGGAGGTACCGGACATTGAATCCAGGACATTGTGCTTGCTAAGCATGCGCTCTACCACTTGAGCTACATCCTCCCCTAAGAAATCAATTCTACTCCATCTCCCCTGTATTATGGACAAGCCCTTCGTGGAAAGATACAGCATCCTATTCATCTATTTCCCCACCACCTGGCCCAGATCCTGGGGTATAGCCAACAAAATACAGCAGGAAAAACCAACATTCATTGAGCATTCACTGTATGCCAAACTGGTGTTAAGTGTTTTATGTGCATTATGTGATTTACATCATTAACTCTCACAGAAACTCCAAGAGTAGATACTACTATTGGCCCATTTTACAGAAGATCAGATGAATGAATATCAAATGAATAAATCTGATAATTGTGTGCATCATGACAGCATGGTATAACAGAAAGAGTATGGCCTTTAAGGCCAGAGTGTGAATTTTTCTTCCATGACCTAATGTATATTCTTGGGAAAGTCACGTCCCAAAATCATGTCCCAACCAGAATTTATTAGTAGTAGTAAAAAATATTGGCAAGGTTGGACATCATACCATGTGGCTCCCAACGAGTGGTTCTGGAATCTTGTGAAGGAGACGACGATGATGATGGTGATGACGGTGAAGGTTCTAACATTTAGTAACCCCACCCTAGGCGCCTGCACTGCACTAAATACTTTACATAAGTTATTTCATTTACTCTTCAACAACTGCGTAAGTTATATCTCCATTTTCCAATAAGCAACTGTGCAAGGCTACTTAGCACTAAATAGGTGGAGCTTAGATTTGAAAGTGGGCACTCTGACTCCAGAGTACAGTGTCCTGTTGTCGCCTTCTAGGTATTGTTGTTGTTGTTCGTTGTTACTACTCAAGTGAGGGCGCATCATTTAAGAAGCGCTAAAGTCACTCACTAAGGTTATTACACACAGTGTTTAATTGGTAGAGGCAGGATTACACTGTAGATCTAGTGACTCCAAAGCCCCATCTTTTATACCAAATTGCATCTCTCGGTTTTCAGAAAGTAATCTGAAATTAATTCTTACTAGGAGATTTTTTTTTTAATAAGAACTTAAAAAAAATTCTTACCAAAAAGAAAGAAAATGCTTCTGGGTCAATGGGTATCAGTTAGGTTCCGACTAAGTACAGACACTGAACCAGCCTGACGAGAGAGGGAGGAGACCTACTTTGAACATTCCACACCCGGGGGTGTTGGGTGGATATGTGTATTTGGAGTTTAGCTTCCTGGGATGGTCTGCTGAATCGCAGAATGTACTGCACCATTGAAATGCAGAGCTGTTTTGTAATATGATGTTCCTGTTACAGTGGCAGGGTGAAAAAACAGGTAACTTGCTGCTCAGTGGTCTCGGAAGTAGGATATTCAATCTCATTAATTAAGGAATGTTGCATAATATTAGTAATAATATCAAGTTGCTAAGTGTCTACTCTGTCCAGGTAGTTTCCATAAGTTATCACTAGTTCTTAGAACAATCACCCAGCCTCATGGGGAGTATATCCCCATTTCCGGAACAGCCAACTGAAGCTCAGAGAAGAGACGTGGGAATGCCTATGTTAACATATGGTTTCTGCCCTTCAAGATATTTGGGGAAAAT